TTCTTCATTAATGATTTATGATCTACTCGTCTCTCTCTCTCTCCGAAATTGCTAGATTCTTGACATAAACTAATGATGAGCTTCATCTTGCAAACAACTAAATTATAACATTTAAAAAAATAGCTTATAATACTATGGTAACATTTTGCTTTTGGATGTTACACCTTCTTATCAAGTTATTGCCACCTATGAGCAGCTGCTCATAAAGAAGCTAAACATACTGATAATTTGGGTTAATGCGAAAAAAGAAAGAAAACTGTTTCCAAGGTTTATGATACATAGATGGGATGGCCTCTTGTCCATTGTTCTCGATTGTACTGTCACCGAGGAAGTTCTTTCTGGTTGAATGAGTCCATTGGCGGCTATATCCTTCGTAATCGACTGGAATTGGTTTTGGCAGGAATCCTGGGCTCTTAAACAGGTTGACTTTCCACTAGCAAATTATTCTCTGACGTTACGCAGTTGGCCATTTTCTCGCCAACTTACTTTCACATATGATCACAATAGATTATCTTTAGTTAGAACCTCCGGTTTTGCTGGATTCTGTAGTACACAGTATTAATTTTTGCCAGTACAACATGTGGCCCTTCCCAAAACCTGCTTAGCTTTTGAGTTCACCCTTTCGTGCATCGAGGATTGTACAGCCATAGCATGTTACCTTCGATGGAATCCAGTCTTATCAGCATTAACACGATAGTGAATTTTCATTTTATCACTAGCTGATTTAAGTCTTTCCCAAGTAAACTCATGTATCACCTTAATGGTGTTTCTTAGTGTATCTGCATATTCTGTGTAAGACTCTGCTAAATGACTATCCTCCTGATGTAAGTACAGAAGGTCCAGAGGCACTTCAAATTCTCTCGCAAACATCAGTGACGACAATGAGTTCCTTGAGATTCATAGACTACTATTAGATAACTCATAAGTATAGTGGAAGATCTTGATTCCATAACTTCTAGACGGTGCTTTAGTTGTTCATCTGTGACTTTGATTAATTGAAGCTCCATCGCCAACTGTAGATCTTCTTTTAAGATGTACACGTACTTTGCTTCAATCTAATTCTCAAATCCTTGTCTGCTATGGAATATATAAATTGGTCACGTGCCATCGAATCCATCGTTTCACGTGGAGCATCTGGGTAAGATAATTGGGTCAGCCTTTTAAAATCTTCCACGACTTTGTCTTAGGTCTGTTTTTTTTTCATCCATACCATGTTTCTGGATACTTCCGTCTATTGTGTCACACCAGACTTCTTAGACAAGGTAGTTAGCAATATTTGACAGTTTTTACGGCTCTAAGATCGAATGCTATTTACTTAATGTTGTTAAAATTGGTATTTTAAAATGGGCAGAAAGATAAATAGCTTGTTGTTCACTATTTCAAACATTCACTCTGGAAATTATTTCGAACTGAGTCTTAAAATAAGACTAGATCTAGAAAGTTAGCTCTTGAGGAATCTGATGTCCGGCTTTGTATTTCTATGTGGAGCGGAGTCTTTGGAAATTGTCGAATATAAATTTTGCAGTTAAGGCTGAATGTTTCACACAAGTTTTGTTTACGGATAACGTTGAAAAACAAAAAAACTAAAACTCATAGTTTCTAGGAACGTCCTGGGTCTTCTGAAGGGAAATTAATAACTAATTAAAAGAACTACTCTGTCAGTTTCACTGAAGAAGTTGTTGATTATTGGATAAACATAGTATTATTTGTATGTTTAGAAGCACGTCTATGAGCTAGAACAACTAGCTAACCATTGTTAAATTCTAACAACCAAATACCAGTGTACCCACCCGCTAGTTTTCGTTCACTTTGTTGTTGATCTATCTGATAATGCTAAGTTATCCTGGTAATCGTACAAATAGCACTCTGATTATCCGATAATAAACAAGATTTTAGCTTATTTGTGTTCATTTTTAAAATATTAAATCTTTATAGATTAAAATTTCTGTAAATGCGTTGTTACTATAGTGTCGAGCTGATTCATCAGAATGTGAATTAGTAAATTTATTCTTTAATTATTAAGACATTAACGACTGAGTAAGAAGACAGGAACACTGTTACTATTACATAATATTTGAATGGTAGGTTGATTTACTTGGTTTGAGCAATTATATACTAAATTGGGCTTATGTATGTTTGTTCTGTTGCTATAGTGTTGAGTGGCGATTAATAGTTTGATCTCCACTTCTTTATACTAAAAACGCAATGCCTTGTTATTTACATTGGGTACTTGGTGTTAAAATAAAATAAAGATAAAATTATGCATAATAATAAATAATAATCCATAATAATAAAAGGATGTGTATGTGGGCCTGTGTGTGTGTGACCACCATAGCTCCAAGAGGAAAGAACCTAGAAACCTGTATTTTTGCAAGCATACTAAATGGGCTCTGTGGGTGTGCACCTGGGTATTATTACTTATATTGTCCACGTACATGCGCGGGCGCATCTTTTTAATGAGGCAAGCTAGCAAAAAATCATATTCAGTTGTGTATTTAATAGTATCGATTAATTAATACAGTCGCTGAAGATGGAATGTGAATATTCCGAAACGTCCGAAGAATAAACGTACATTACCGAAAACAAAATGTCGAATGTTTGCTATTACCGTCGTTTTATTGATTATTATCAAACTTAAGAACAGTTAATACAGGGGGAGAGAGTTGAACAGAACATCGCGGTTCGAACCTTGGATCTCCTGACACTTGCAGCAAAAACTATTGATGACTATCTACAAAGTGTTATCAAAGCAGGTTACTGGAGTTAATGTAATATTTCTTTTTCTATCACAATCTATATTATCATTATTGCTTTATGCTTGGCATTCTGTAGAATACGAGCCAGAACACTGTTGTTTTATACTTACCGTTTTGGTTGTATCATCCTTGATTACATGCTTTCATCATATATACTCAGTATAACCAATCAAGCCTTACTTTTCTACAAAGAATAACAAAATTATTAATTCTTGATTAAATGTTTGCACAATATAAGTAGCAAAAATTTTCTGAAAAAACAAATTAAGCTCATATTGAGCAGGATTCGAACCCGCGACATTGCCTTATCGATAGATGCTAAGTAACTTCAACTTCAAGTGCTGTAAGTTTCATTTTTCACTTCAAGAACAAAATTTGGCAAGACTATTTGAGCTATGCCAATCAGATGCAACCAACGTGTCGATTTGCAATGAAGTTTAACTTCAGAAATTTTATGCGCTGAACTCTGTCGTATGAGGTTTTATTTAATTTTTTGATAAGTGAAAACTAAGACTGAGCGGGATTCAAACCTACCTCTGCCTACCATGCAAATGCTTAATTTTAATCTGTATTAGTCGAACTGTTACACAATCAACAGTTCTCAGAAATGTATGCAACATCTAAATCATTGAAAATAAACGAGTGATGTTACACTCGTGCGGCTTAGATCTCTTTAATTGCATTTATGCTGTTTCATTACATCAATGCTTCTGATTCTCAAACATATCCAAGTAATTATAGAGTAAAACAAATCTTTGGGATGTTCGAACAAGCTAGTATGTGATTCTTTTTCTCTAACATTTGATATTGTAATTTTCAATTTTCACCCTGTGCTTCGTCATCCGTAGAACACGTAGAACCAAATTTCTTGTGTTGCATATAAATATCACTTCAATTTACTTTTGGTTCAGCCCTACTGTTGAATTCCAGTGATATATAAAAAGTCGCCATGAGAGTGGTTTCTAGAGTTGGCAAAATATAGATAAAAAGTATTTTTTGCACACCCTTTAAAAAAAAATCAATAACATACTATTTAAGAAAAATTAAATTATAAAAGAAACATTTGTTGTCAAACGT